AATGAAACTGGTCTATAATTAGACATTACAGAAGGATCTTCTTTTTTTAAAAGAGGAAGTAAATTTGCTAATTTCCAACCGGAGGGAAAAATACATTCATTCAGAGATCTATTAAACAATAAACAAAGCGGTTTAGCAGTAGCAAACTTTGCTGATTTTAACATCTTGTGGCTTATATTATCAGGACCAATAGCTTTGTTTGTAGGAAGTATTGTTACAATATCAATTATTTCTTGCTCAGTAATACATATACTACTAAATTCACTGTTACATACATGATATGCCTCAGGTAATTCTGAACCACTATCATCAACACATGATACAGATGTAAAATAATTATTGAGTACATCTATTTTCTCTTCATTTGAATAAGCAATATTTGTACAACCAGTATCTGTTATATATTGTAATGGTGGAATATCAGAGGTAACTTTGGTTTTAAAAACATCCTTCAATAATTTCCAGTATAGTTTCGAGTTGTTTTTGCTAGCGTCAGTAAGATGTAATTCTAGATTATTCTTGTAATTTTCAATTGCATGTTTTTTCATATTATTAAACTTATTTCTCACTTGTTAAAAATTTGTCCAATCAGAGTCTTTTTTTGCTTTTTTGGGCTTTTCGTTTAAGTATATTTTTTATACGAAGAGTTTTGCGCAATGCGGAATCAAACCATGGTTTATCTTTCGGCCGTATAATAACAGATCTTTCAGGTATACATTGTCTAACTATATTCATGAATGCCAAAGAAAAGTTTTCAGTTGCCTGGTTAACAGAAATGATTCTCCCATATTTACTATAAATATATCTTTTCCTGCAGTAGTTTTTTCCTTGTTACCCTTGCCTGTCTGACAAGTGGAAAACTATATGGAAAACAACAAGAATTTAAAATGTAACGCGTCATCCAGTTATAATTAAGTATACTTAGTGATCGAGTGGATCTAATAGCCGTACTTTTACTGTTATTTTACGTAAAACATGCTCAAAACGCAGTGCTTTGAACATATATCAGCGCTGGTAGGAAGCAATTTCAGTTGCGGGGGGGGGGGGGATCAACCAAACATTTTCATTTTCGGAGGGCAATACTAAGCAAAACTTCCAAAGGAATTTCAGATGGGGGGGGGGCGCTACAAAATATTTTCAGTTGAATGGGCACCACTAACACAAAAAGGGTAAAAAGAAAAAAAAGACAAAATATTTCATCAGAGGTACATCTTTAAAGTATAGTTTTATCTTATATACTTTATTATTTACATATCGGCAAAATTACTGGGGCCGGGTGGGGGGTATGTTGTATCACTGGCAAATTTAAAAGTTGTAATTAAGATAAAAGGAGGGTGTTGTCTCATTTAATCCGTCACTGCCAATTCCTTATTGCATGCAAATATCGCAGCATTACTAACGTTTTCTTCAGAGAGAGAGAGAGAGAGAGAGAGAGAGAGAGAGAGCAGTTTAATTATTTTTCTCTACTGTAATTGTGCCATTTCCTTACAAAAAAAAAACTTGTCAAAATTTCATTTTTGGAAATTGTAATTTTTCATTTGTTGTCCTACAATCTTTGTCGGTTCGGTTGTAGTAGTCAGCAATATGTACATGCATCACCAAAACTAAGTGTTGTCAGCTTCATCTCCATGTAAATAATAATTGTTAGTGGGGATTGTATTGTGCTTTACCCTGTTCACATGCGTCTTTCAATAGTACTATATGCGCGTACTTCTAAGGTCTATTATCTGTGCCAATACTTATAGGCTATATTGGACATAATTTCTTTAATCATCTACATAAGAAAACATCAAAATTATGGAATCGTCCCAAGTAATGTTTTATATTTTGATTTATTGGAAATGTCATTGTACCCTTGCCATTTACGATAATAAGATGTGATTTACAATTACGACTTTCGTTTTTATTTTCCATGTATCATAAAATGTACTTCTCTTAGACTCACCCACCCAAACCCCCATCTTCTCTTTTAATTGTTTAAATGAAAGGGATGTTTTACACACAAGTGTAATAGTGTTATAATGGCAGATTTCAGAAAAAGGGATGGGGGGGGGGGCATAAGTGAAAACAGTATGCAATTCAATTCAAGAGACCCATAGGCCACAACGCTCACCCTAGTCACCTTGCCCCTGCTGTCCTTCAGATAATGTTTTAAAAGATATTTTCCCTCTACATTGAGTATATTCCCATGTTGTCCCAATCTTAGTCCCATGTAAGAGGTATATATATATTAGAATCACACTACAAGGAGATTCTGAATATCAATATGACTAACGTAAGGAGAATTTATGTAAAACTTGATCCTTTGTTTTTTTTAGCTCTGCCTTAGCCCCGGTGAACAAAGGTGAATCATATATTTGCATATCAACATGATTGAGTGTCGCAGCATGGAAATATGAATGCACTAATAGGGGATGCTTGCATATCAGTATGGGTCATTCTTGTACTACTATTATTGAAAAGATTTGTGAGGGATCTGATCTTATAAATTCTCTGTGAATATCTGATCCTTTAATGTGTCCTTAAGCCATGGTCATCCTTGTTATGATCTACATTATGATCCTATTTTTCTTTGTTTGTTTCTTTTCCTTAATATTCACAAAAAAATCAATTACATTGAGTGATTATCTAGTTAAAACTTTCAGAAAGATGCAATGCCATAATTGTCAAAACACAACTAGTTAATTATTTTCATGTTAGTATGATATTGAAATTGTCCATATACACGTCTATACACCATATCTGCAGTTATATGCACTTGATTGTCGTATCTAATGCACATCTTGTTGGAACTTTGTCTCTTCTCAGCTGTCTGTACTGATAATATGAGGTTTTAAATGACTAGAAGTTAATGGTTAACCAACAACTAAACTAAATGATAAAAAGGATGACTTCAGCTTTCCATTGTCAATCTCTCCTGCATTGGCCAATAGTACGCGGGAGAGGGCACTTTTTCTGAAAATAGTCTTTTGCTGTAGTTTTTTTTTCAATCTAAATTTTGATTTGCTTGCCCCCCTCCCCTTTCATTGCTGTACAGTAAAATATAGGCCAATTCCTGCATTTGAAAAAAAATTAACAGAAAAGTTAGAGACTCCCCTCCCTCCCCCACCACACACACAAAATAGGGTTTTAGAGTTTGGATGGTTACCTTTTTTTTGCTTGTCAACTTTTTTGTTTTCAGAAGGCTGCCCCCTTTGATGTTTATGTAGTATTCTACTATCACCTGCATGTGGTGTTTTATTCAAAACGCAATAACATGTACCAGTAGATTTATTTTTTAAACCGAGACAGGGTAGTGACTAGTGACAAATAATTTGATGTTACAGGGCTTTCTACAATATCATATTTTTACATAGGAATATACCAGTATATGGAAATATCGTTAAATATCTCCTCAAGAACAGATGATTAGTGATATTAATATGCAAAAATCCCTTTCAAAATGTTCTTCTCAATAATATCAGGATTGTGATTGATCATAATATGCAAGCATTTCCATCAAGTACATATCTAATTTCTTCAAATCATGACCCCAGGGTTGGGCAAGCATAAAATATTTTATTTTTTCATAGAAATATCTTCTTACCAAGAACACAAGGGCCATAATCAATGACACTAATATGCAACCATTCTCAGAAAGTATTCCAAACATAGCCCCTGTGGATAAGGTGGAGCTACAATAGGGGATCCAAGTTTTACATTTCTATGCAGATGAATTAAAATATGCATAAGTGCTATACCTCTTACACAAAGGTTAAAAGAGCCATAGCTGCCTTACCGACGACACGGCCGACTCAAGAATTTAAAAGGAAATCACTTGTTTCTATTTATAGATATACTGTACCTTTTCAATTCATGAGCAAACTATCTAATATGATTTGAGGACGAGTGTTGCAAGTATGTCAAATGACAATCATTTTACTTGTTCAATACTCTAATTCTGAGACAAAAGATTTACGCAGAAAATCAATAAAAATAAAACAAGTTGCTATGAATTTGCAAACTTAAATAAAATAGTTAAGGACTGTCTTTTCCCGAGATACTTTCAAAGTGTAATGTGTATATTATATCTTTCTGAAATTGTGTATATTATAAAACAATAAAAAAAACGTAGGAAAGATACACAAAGAAAAAAAAAATTTAAAAAAGCAAATGGAAAAATGTGGGGCTCGAACTCGCAATCACCATATTTACATTCCAGCAATCATACCGCTGCGCCAACGAAGTCAATGATGTCAAGTTGATAAATTTAAGACAGATAACTAATCTTACGATTATATGAGAAGAAAAATTTAATATATATTTTCATCATTTTCAATATGAAGACCACCTTTAACCAAAATTATCTAAAGGGAATATCCAAATAAAATTATTCAAAAGTTGTTTTTCTGGTAAAGGGTGGTCTTTGGCAACAGTTTGTCATCGTTAGGTGGATACCTCATTATTTACTATATATTCTATACAAACTGGATAATTTTCAAATTTATCATATGAGGGAACTATTAACATTTAAATATTGTGTGATTTGGTTTTACGCATGTATAAACTAAGACTGTATGATAAAATTTTGGTTAAAAAATGTATTTAAGAAATCACTAGTAGAGTAGGCGAAAATGCCTATCAAATGCGCTATGGCTCTTTATTTTCTAATACATAATTAGTACCCATGACATATTGTAACTAGTATGTATTATGACGTCATTGTTCTTTCCTACCCAAGATTATAAAACATATCAACAAAACAATATGTACTGGCTATAACATGCCACAGGTACCAAGTATGTATAAGAAAAGGAATTTCAACTTTTTCTGTATCATAAATGTATCACTTATCCATTTTTATTGGCTCATTTGCATAGAAACACCTATACCTAGTCTTAATTCACATGCGTAAAGTAAAAATCGATGACAAAATGCCTTAGGCACAAGATTGCCACACTGTATTTACTCAAGCCACTTTAACCTTTGTGAAAACAGATCATTCATAAATTGAAAGCCAATTCACATTTTTTTCATATTTAATAAACAATAATCAGCTAACAAAAAACATTTAGCACAAAAAGTCCATTCAGATGGGATTCTTCTCTTCCATTATCTGCTGAGCAGATTGTCCAATTTCAATTGTGTTAATCATCCATTTTTGGCTGTGTAAATCTTCCATTATCTGCTGTGTAAATCTTCCACCTTGGCTTTTACCAATTTTGAGCAAGCACTGGAAAATATGTATGAACACTTTAGTGAAAATTGCCTCATTAAAATGAAAATAAACAACTTTGAAAGACAGGACTCAACTGAATATGTATTTACATGAACATGTAATATACACCTATTAATATTTGTTTTCCTGATGGACTGACTCCGATATTTGCTTTAATTTTGATTTTTTGGTGTCAATCATTATCCTTACTATATTGCAGTATTGTCATGTCTGGAATGTATTGTATCAGATGTACAATGTATATGGTGAATCAAATAGATACTTTATAACAGCTATGTTGCACTGTTTTTAGAGTGAGTAAGGAGTGAGGTTGTCAACACTCACTTGATATCTTTTCGGACTTTCCAGAACTCGTCTACGTAATCTGATCTCCCTAGTAACTCCACGAAATCCTCGTCGTGTGTGATGACAACCAACTGGAAGTTCTTCTGGCTAGACCGAGACTTAATGATCCTACATAAGACATGAAATAAAGATCTGTATCATATACAAAAGCTTGCAATGCAAGATAAAATGCAAAATTAACTGTACATCTGACATGCTATGCATGCAAGGAGCAAACTCTCGGTTTTGGTGAAACTTACTCTACAAGGGCGAGGGCCAGACTTTCTATGTTTTCTCTATCTAGATTTGTTGTTGGCTCATCCAGTGCCAGGATGCCACAGTTCAAACAGAAAGTCTCAGCCAGGGCCATTCTTATTATCAAGGAAGCAAGCACCTGTCAACAAAATCATGTAGAATTAAACAGTCACTTCATGTAACAAGATGCCCATGGTCCACAATGCTCACCTGAGTAACTTTAATCTTGCTGTTCCTCCTCAAAATTTTAAAAGATTGTTATATTCCCATGAAAAATTGTGACCCCATATCATGGTCTAAAAGGTCTCTGAATCCACACAACATAGGGAAGCTTCAATAAGACTAACATGACCTTGCAGTTATAAAGAAGAAAATTCTTTTCCTGTACACATGCAGTATGTTTAATTTTATACCAATTTAAGTCAACTCTAACCCAGAATCATAACTAGGGAAAAAACTGAATCCATACATTTTGGTAATGTTTGCAAATTAATGGTTATACTTCAGTTCTTAAGAAGATTAAATAAAAAAATCTAATATAGCTAAATGTAAAACTTTGATCTCCTATTGTGGCTACACCCTATTTTCACATTTCACTTAAGTTTCATCTTTTCTGGTACAGTGGTAATTGAGAATTCCAGATTTTTAAAGTTTTTTATATTTCAATGCTAAACTCTGATCCCCTATTGTGGCCCCACCTACCGCCCAGAGGTCACTAATTAAATAATTTAGAATCTACATTAGAAAGATTTCACATAAGATTCATTTTTTTCTGGTCCAATGGTTCTTAAGAAGAATTTTGAAGATTATTTTCATTTATATTTCAATGTAAAACTTTAATTCACTATTATGGCCCCACCCTACTCCCAGGTACAACAATCTGAATATTTTAGAATCTACACTACTTTAGGAAGCTTTCATGTAAGTTTCATCTTTTCTAGCCCTGTGGTTCTTGGGAAGAAGATTTTTTAATGACACTTAGCTTTTTTCTTATTTAAACCTTTTCTTGATTATCTGCACTTGGAAAGGGGCTTGGCCCTTCATTTGAACAATTTAGCATTCCCTTCTCCAAGTATGCTTTGTACAAACTTTGATTAAAATTTGCCCAGTGGTAATTGAGAAAATTTAAAAATGTGAAAATTTTACAGACGGCCTGAGAGATACATGGGCAGACACACAAACAGACGCCATCAATGGGTGATCAGAAAAGCTGAGGTGAGCTAAAAATTCGAATATATACCTGGTATGCGTTTAGTTAAAAATGTTACTATGCAATTAAAGAAGCAAAGATACTTCACATACAATGGCTCTTTTAACTACACTTTAACATGTACTTGTAACAGGACAGATTGATTTGAGTTTTAACATAGTAATAATAGAAAATTGTTGGTAACTTTTCCATGATTAACAAACTGTGACTGTTGACCTTTTGACCTGCACTGCAGCGCCCCCTCATGTCTAGAGCTGTGTCTCCTTTTAACATCACAACCCTGTAATTGTATGTCCTCCGTGTTTTTGTAAGACCTGCATCATCGTCATCAGAACGAATCTCTATTGTTTCAATATCTGGCAAGTACACAAATACATGTACATACAAAATAAAATCTATATAAAGGCACTTACAGAAATCCCTACACAAGTACACACATACACACAAATTAAAATCTATATAAAGGGCACTTACAGAAATCCCTACACAAGTACACACATACGAGGGGCATTTCAAAAGTTCTGGCAACTGGTATATAAAATTTTAACTACGTTACGGATTAAAATGACTCTGATACCACTGTAAAGCTTAGGCAAATATGCATTAGTAGTGACGTCATTTTACATTCAAAATGACGTATAGGTCTGCTAAAATGACGTCATAATTAGGTATACTCTGTATACAGAGCGTAAAAATGACTGATAAGGAGAACAATTTTTTTGTTGAGCAAAGAGCGTATTGCGAAATTCGCTCATTGCTTGGCTGAAATTCGCTCATTGCTTGGCTTTACGGCAACAGAAAAGCCGATTTAGATGTAGTATATAGAGAGCATGCTCTTTCATATCGAGCAATAGCAAGATGGGTAGTTCAATTTAAAGAGGGTAGAAAATCAATTGAAGATGACCCCGGGGCGTCCAGTTTGTGCATATGGCGAAAAAGAAATCGTCGCTGTTCAAAATACGATAGCTGATGATGCTACATATACAGTTGAAGAAATAGCAGACTTAACAAACATTAATTCGTCAGCAGTTTTTCGTATTTTAAAGGAAAACTTAAAGCTTAGGAAAGTCTGTGCTAGATGGGTGCCACATCTTCTCTCGGAAGAGCAAAAGCGCATCCGGGTAGAAATGGCTTCACAGTTACTAACAATTTATGAAGATTGTGACCAAAGGCGAATAAATGAGATTGTAACTGGTGATGAAACATGGATATATTTTTTTGAACCGGAAACTAAGCTCAATAGTAAAGTTTGGATCGGTGAAAATGATACAAGGCCTCAAATTGCACGCAGAAACCGGTCTGTCCGGAGAGTAATGTACGCCTTAATTTTTGATTCTAAAGGCCCTGTTGCTCAAGTTCCGGTTCCAGAACACAGCAGTGTTACTGGTCAATTTTATGCAGAGAATGTCTTGTCTCAAGTTGTAGAGCACTATAAAACGACCCGACCAACAACCAGTACTAGAGGAATAAAGCTCCTCCATGACAACGCTCCTGCCCATAGATCAGAGGTAGTAACCAAATATTTAAAGGAAAATGGTATTGCCGTTTTACCACATCAACCCTACAGTCCTGACCTAGCTCCATGCGATTTTTGATTGAATGTCGTTATCAAAGAAGCCCTCCGAGGACAGCGATTTGAAAGTCGTCATGCAGTCGGAAGTGCCGTATTCCAGTGTATGAAGCGTATACCGAAAGAGGACTATAGGGCAGCATTTTCCACGTGGATTTCAAGACTGAAAAAGTGTGTCCAGGTCAACGGAGACTATTTTGAGGGATTGATATAATTTAATTTATGATAATGATGCTCATTAATTTACCGCACACCAGTTGCCAGAACTTTTGAAATGCCCCTCGTACATACAAATTAAAATCTATATAAAGGGCACTTACAGAAATCCCTACACAAGTACTGTACATACAAAATAAAATCTATTTAAAGGGGGACTTAAGGAAATCCCTACACAAGTACACCCATACACACAAATTTATATAAAGGGGCACTTACAGAAATTTAATCATATGGCAATAAACATTATAATTCATTATCTTGTGACATTTGCTCTCCTAAAATTATTATTTATTAAGATTTCTTTTACCCATTATAAGGTACTCAAGTTAGATCTTTTTCCTTAATTTGTGGGTAAAACACATCACTGTGTACAATTGTACTTCATCAGAATCCCTACATATGTACACCGTACTTGTATGATAAATTCCTATTTTTACCGTTTCCTCTATAGGTATTCCTCCAGAGCTCTCGGATTATCTTGTTGATTTCATCCATCTTCATATTGTGGTAACTCATGATGGCTCTGAATAAATAAAATTAAGTTAATATCACTACTACTTGTATACGTTGAGGAAGAAATTCATGAATTCAAAGAATAAAATGAAGCTGATTTTACACAAATACATCTGTGGTCCTTTACACAAAATACCTTAAGAATAAGACAAAAAATGTTCCAATTCTCCAACAAGGACATGTATCTAAGCCATAGTAGGCAACAAAAAATCTCATATTTCTTTTGCATTTGAATATATTGAACATAATCTTTTTAAAAAAACATTTTCATAAAACAAAAAATTACATCATTGTGAAATTTTCATCTCAGTCATATGATATTTTTCGAAGAGGGTTACTGATCTTTTCATAATAATAAAAAGATCTCACAACCATTTGGCAAATTACATCTTACTTGTCGAGTGCCTTGTAATATTTCTCCAAGTCACTGCTGGCTAATTCTGTTGTCTGTAATGTGAAAAAAAAAAAAAACTAAATAGAATGCCTCTTATAGGATCAGAATATGTCTAAGTCAATTAATTATTCTCTGAACCTGCATAATCAGTAAATTGTAGCTAAGATATGGTACCTGTTTCACATATAAACAATTATTTTTGTTACTGATTTTGGACATTTGAACACTTTTTGAAGAAAATTGAAGTTTCCACAATCTGAAAGATCATCAGAGCAAAGCACTGCACCTTCTGCATACAGAGCTATTTTTTGCCCTTTCACACTTGCAAACAATTTTTCCATTTTAAATTTGCCCAGTTGCAGTTTTGTTTAAGAAATTATACAGTCTCCTTTGAATTTGCCCCATCTTATATTTGCCCACTTGTGTCTAGGGGCGAAAATAATACAGAGGAAATAATTTCCCTGTATACAGTATTATGTTTAGAAGTGTTCCACATTAGAGGGAAGTGCCCTTTACCTTCAGGATGCTAACAGTGGGTGGTCCCCCTACCTTCAGGGTATGAAATGCTCTCACATTTTGTATATTAAAGGAAGTGCCCCATACCTTCCAGATGTCGTTCTGAAGTACCTTTTACCCTCAGAATAAAGCAGCAGAATTTCCCCCCTACCTTCAGGATAAAGCAGCAAAATTGCCCCCTTACTTTCAGGATAAAAGTGGCAGAAGTGCCCCTTATCTTCAGGATATCATTCAGAAGGCTCCCTACCTTCAGGAGAAAAGAAACAGAAGTGTCTCCTACCTTCAAGTTATTAGTCGGAAATGCTCCTTACTTCGAATTTTAAAGTGGGAAATGTCCTTACCTCAAGAATATTACAGTCTGATGTGCCCCCTACCTTCAGTATATTATATATGTCCTACCTCGGGATATATCAGTGAGACACGCCCTACCTCGGGATATTTCAGTGAGACACACCCTACCTCGGGATATTTCAGTGAGACATGCCCTACCTCGGGATATTTCAGCGAGACATGCCCTACCTCTGGATATGTGAGAGTAAAATGTCCCTACCCTCTGAGGTACACACCTATTTATGGGAGAATTGCCCCTACTCCCTGGATATTTCAGTGAGAAGTGTCCCTACCTTCAGAATGATCATCTTGTCTCTGTACTTCGTAGCAGCATTCTTGTACATCTCTGATTTCAGTTCATTTGTGATGCTGGAGAATTCACCATGTAAGGCAATTCTACGATTCTCAGACATTTGTTTCTGTAACACAATCCCACATGAATACATTATTTAACCTTGAACTTAGGAAAAGAAATCAAAGCCATTACTTGAATGGTTTTATTTAATGCTCTTCTTTCTTGCAAGTTCTACAAGTTTAACTTGTTTTTAAGAAAATCTTTATATATCTTAAGTCAGTGAAAACCTACTGTAAATTTTCAAAGCTTCTTTCTCAAGAAGGTCACACCATTTACAACTGTACCCCCTTCTCTCTAGGACAAGTTATATATATTATATACATTATATTCTTCCCCTTACATCCTGAAAAACCTGCTTTTCTTCTGTATATTGTACATTTCCTATTGTATACAGTACATTTGCTATTGTATACAGTACATTGTATATTTCTTATTGTATACAGTACATTTGCTATTGTATACAGTACATTGTACATTTGCTATTGTATACAGTACATTGTACATTTGCTATTGTATACAGTACATTGTACATTTGCTATTGTATACAGTACATTGTACATTTCCTATTGTATACAGTACATTTGCTATTGTATAGAGTACATTGTATATTTCCTATTGTATACAGTACATTGTATATTTCCTATTGTATACAGTATATTGTATATTTCCTATTGTATACAGTATATTGTTTATTTCCTATTGTATACAGTATATTGTTTATTTCCTATTGTATACTGTATATTTCCTATTGTATACAGTACATTGTATATTTCCTATTACCTCTTTTTGTAGTTCTTCCTGTTCCCTGAGCAGACGTCGTCTCTCTCTTTCCAGATGTTTGGCGTCAATCCCTCCCAGTTCCTTTTCCTGCTCTTCAATGTTCTCTTTCACTTTCTCAATGTCTTTAAGATGTCGTCGGAGTCTAAGATTGTCTGTCAATTCTCTCTCCCTCTCCTAAATATACACAATCAAGCAAATATTATTGCCCTTCAAACCAATAAACTTCCATACCATGCTAAAACATAGGTAATCAGAGATTACAGAGCTCACCTCAACGAACGTTGTCTTTAAGTAAGGCAAAGTCCCACACTAAACTAATTATCTAGTAGTGTCCATCCCTAGATGCAACATTTATGCAATTTTGGTCTGATAGGGCTTGCAATTACTTGGGAATAGACTTATCTGAAAACTTAAAACTAGTCACTCATCCAGAAAATGTAAGTCAAATCCAGCATCTGAAGCAAGTTTGAGATTGTTTGTCCCTTGGTGCATCATCCATGCAAGTTTGATTCAGATAGGCCTTATAGTTACTTGGAAATGAGATCCGCTCCAAAAACATTAACCTGGTTACTCATCTGGAAAATGTAGGTCAGATCCAGCATCCGAAGCAAGTCCAGTAGTGTGCATCCTTAGATGTATCATCCATGCAAGTTTGGTCAATATAGGGTTTATAGATACTTGGAAATGATATCTGCTCCAAAAACTTTAACCTGGTCACTCATCCGGAAAATATAGGTCAGATTCAGCATCCAAAGCAAGTCCAGTAGTCAGTATCCTTAGATGTGTCATCCATGCAAGTTTGCTCAATATAGGGCTAATAGTTACTTGGAAATGAGATCTGCTACAAAAACTTTAACCTGGTCACTCATCCGGAAAATATAGGTCAGATCCAGCATCCGAAGCAAGTCCAGTAGTGTGCATCCTTAGATGTATCATCCAAGCAAGTTTGGTCAATATAGGGCTTATAGTTACTTGGAAATGAGACCTGCTCCAAAAACTTTAACCTGTTCCAAAAACTTTAACCTGGTCATTCTTTAGCCGAAATTGCAGCATCTGAAACCTTGACTGGTACAATGAAACACACTAGAAGCATCCTCCGTGCATCTCTGACTAATATAGGCCATAGAAGTACTTGAAAAGAAAACTGCTCCAAAAACCTTAACCTGGGACGCTGACACCGACGCCGAGGGTATTACATAAGCTCCCTCAACTTCGTTGAGGTGAGCTTATAAAAAGGAGAAGCAAAAATAGAATGATTTTCCATCTTTCTAAGCTTTGTACATACTTCAGTAATTTTTTTTGCCAACTTATCAACTTTTGCAATCTCTTTTCTATGTACGTTTATGGGTATGTTTTGCCAGCATGTCATGTATCTTGTTCAGAAGCTCTATGGTATGTACAGACTTTGGGTAGTTTTGGCCAGCTCATCACATAGCTAGATAAGACTACTCTATGTACAGACTTACAGTATTTTTGCAAGCTCGTTGTGAAGCTTGTTTACTCTCTATGCTATTTGAAGATTTACCATATTTTTGGCCAGCTCTTCACGTAGCTAGTTCAGACTATTCTATACAGACTTACTGTATTTTTGGCCAGCTCGTTATGTAGCTTGTTCAGACTCTCTATTCTATATACAGACTTACAGTATTTTTGGCCAGCTTGTCTCGTAGCTTGTTCAGACTCTCTATTCTATATACAAACTTACAGTATTTTTGGCCAGCTCCCTGTGTAGCTTGTTCAGACTCTCTATTCTATTCAGACTTACAGTATTTTTGGCCAGCTAGTCATGTAGCTTGTTCAGACTCTCTATTCTATACAGACTTACAGTATTTTTGGCCAGCTCATTATGTAGCTTGTTCAGACTCTCTATTCCATACAGACTTATAGTATTTTTGGCCAGCTCGTTATGTAGCTTGTTCAGACTCTCTATTCTATATACAGACTTACAGTATTTTTGGCCAGCTTGTCTCGTAGCTTGTTCAGACTCTCTATTCTATATACAAACTTACAGTATTTTTGGCCAGCTCCCTGTGTAGCTTGTTCAGACTCTCTATTCTATTCAGACTTACAGTATTTTTGGCCAGCTAGTCATGCAGCTTGTTCAGACTCTCTATTCTATACAGACTTACAGTATTTTTGGCCAGCTCCTTGGGTAGCTTGTTCAGACTCTCTACTCTATACAAACTTACAGTATTTTTGGCCAGCTAGTTGCGTAGCTTGTTCACTCTCTATGCTATTTTCAGATTTACCATATTTTTGGCCAAGCTTGTCACATAGGTAGTTCAGACTCTCTATTCTTTACAGACTTACAGTATTTTTGGCCAAGCTCATCACGTAGCTTGTTCAGACTCTCGATTCTATTTACAGACTTACAGTATTCTTGGCCAGCTCGTTGCGTAGCTTGTTCAGACTCTCTATTCTATTTACAGACTTATAGTATTTTTGGCCAGCTCATCATGTAGCTTGTTCAGACTCTTGATTCTATTTACAGACTTACAGTTTTTTTGGGCAGCTTGTCGCGTAGCTTGTTCAGACTCTCTATTCTGTTTACAGACTTATGGTATTTTTGGTCAGCTCGTTGCGTAGCTTGTTCAGACTCTCGATTCCATTTACAAACTTATGGTATTTTTGGCCAGCTTGTCGCGTAGCTTGTTCAGACTCTCTAATCTGTTTACAGACTTAAGGTATTTTTGGCCAGCTCATCTCGTAGCTTGTTCAGACTCTCTATTCTGTTTACAGACTTACAGTATTTTTAGCCAGCTCATTGTGAAGCTTGTTCACTCTCTATGCTATTTTCAGATTTACCATATTTTAGGCCAAGCTTGTCACATAAGTAGTTCACACTCTCTATTCTATTTACAGACTTGCGTTTTTTTTGGCCAGTTCGTCTCGTAGCTTGTTCAGACTCTCTATTCTATTTACAGACTTACTGTATTTTTGGCCAGCCCCTTGTGTAGTTTGTTCAGACTCTCTACTCTATACAGACTTACAGTATTTTTGGCCAGCTCTTCACGTAGCTAGTTCAGACTATTCTATACAGACTTACTGTATTTTTGGCCAGCTCGTTATGTAGCTTGTTCAGACTCTCTATTCTATATACAGACTTACAGTATTTTTGGCCAGCTTGTCTCGTAGCTTGTTCAGACTCTCTATTCTATATACAAACTTACAGTATTTTTGGCCAGCTCCCTGTGTAGCTTGTTCAGACTCTCTATTCTATTCAGACTTACAGTATTTTTGGCCAGCTAGTCATGTAGCTTGTTCAGACTCTCTATTCTATACAGACTTACAGTATTTTTGGCCAGCTCATCATGTAGCTTGTTCAGACTCTCTATTCCATACAGACTTATAGTATTTTTGGCCAGCTCGTTATGTAGCTTGTTCAGACTCTCTATTCTATATACAGACTTACAGTATTTTTGGCCAGCTTGTCTCGTAGCTTGTTCAGACTCTCTATTCTATATACAAACTTACAGTATTTTTGGCCAGCTCCCTGTGTAGCTTGTTCAGACTCTCTATTCTATTCAGACTTACAGTATTTTTGGCCAGCTCGTCTCGTAGCTTGTTCAGACTATTCTATACAGAATTATGGTATTTTTGGCCATCTTGTGTAGTAGCTTGTTCAGACTATTCTATACAGAATTATGGTATTTTTGGCCATCTTGTGTAGTAGCTTGTTCCGACTCTCTATTCTACACAGACTTACAGTATTTTTGGCCAGCTCATCGCGTAGCTTGTTCAGACTCTCTGTGTAATCCCTCTGTTCCTCCTCTTTCTTCCCTGCTTTGTCCTCTATCTGGGTCAGACGCTCTTTGTTCCGTGCTAACGTTTCTGCCTTCCCTGACTGAATATAGCTGTGACAAACAGAAAGTATCAAAACAATTGTCAAATTATCAATAACAGATAAAAGCAAACGTAAACTTTTTGTTAAGCTGTGGTTGTAAAACTTCGAATCATTTGCATTTACATATATATGCAATATGGCTAACTGTAACTTTTTAGCTGGTCGTTCAGATTTGAAGACTATGAATTTTATGGTGTTTAATACTACACTGCATATCAACAGAACAAAGCAATAATGGAGGAAACACAAACCTTTTGATTTCCAGGTTGATATTTTTTACTTTTGCTGTATCATTCTTCACTTTATCAACCTTCAATGTGAGAAACATTCCAACATTTAAAGTCAGGAAAAATCATTTTACGTTAGATTCCATATCTGTTTCATTTTTTACCGAAACCATTGCTGGGTTCCATAGCAATAAACAGACTCATACTGCCAACATTAACATTTTGTATGAATAACTTCAGTCACTACTCTCCAAAATTTTATAGCAGTGGGTTACGTTGGATATAAATCACCAAAATCTTATAATCAAGATTGAAAATATGGGGAATTTGCTTCTGACAGTTAATTATACATCAAAATTACGGGACAGATCCACATGTACATATACAGGGTGTTTCAACAAACATGTCCAGACTTTAGATGTCTTCTTTTTGCACAATATTAAAATATTTACAAAATTATCACTGTATTTCATAGTCCATTTTCCGGCTATATAATTTAAGAGATGAATTTAATTTTTAAGAATTCATGAGGACATGAACTACTACGCTTCACGCCTGCATACTGCATGAAGCGCATTAGCGCTTCAGGATAAATATGCAGGCATGAAGCATCGTGGTTCATGTACCTCATGAATTCTCAAAAATTAAATTCATATCTTATATTTGGGTGAATTAAAAAAAAATGACCACCAAACTGAATTTTTTTGGCAAAATTCAACTACTTATAACATATTTTTCACTTATGTCATCAGATTGCAAATGCATTCTAGTTTAAAATCCTGAAGTGGCAATAGAATAGACAACTGGATTAAATAGTTTCAGAATTTTTATTAGAAAAATTTCTTTTGAAAAAAGAAAATATCATTACACCTTAAAAGACTTTCTAAAATACATAATCACAAGAAATTATAGTTTTTTATGTTTCAAAATGGTAAAAGGGGTATAAATGATTAAATCTAGACCTTGAATGAGTATCTTCTCTTGTACATGTGACAAAAAATTGGCTTTTTGATTGTTATTTTATATTATTTTTTCAATTCTGGTTTGAAAAGTTTTAATATGAAAAAAATATGAAGCAATAAAATTCCCCAAAATTCACTTTTTTGTCCGTTCAAGTCAATTCTTTAAATCTAAGCCAAAAAAGAATTGTTATATATGAGTTCTCTTACAAAAAATACCAGATTTTGAAGTGACCCTATGTTGCATTATTGTGTTGCACTCCTGACATCTGATATGTATTTTATTTAACATTGTTTTAAAAATTATAACACACAATAACCCGTTATTACTTTGTAAATCAATTTGTCGTGTTGATATTTTTCATCGTTTACGGCAGGTTTTTCATATTTTGAAGACCTTAATACATGATTATTTGCAAAGTGTAATATATATAAATTTTATTTAAAATAAATGTGAAATGATGAAAACTATTCCCTGAATTGACTGTAAAATTTCTGTAATTTGTTGATAGACATAGTGTTTTAAACATCAAATAGTATCAAACATTTTTTTTTCAACTTATTTTTTAGTAAAGGTAGTTAAAAAGCATTGGTAATTATAAAGCAGTTTTGTTGCACTCCTGACTGCAGTAAAGTTTAAAATTAAAACCATAGAACACAAAAATTTATAAAGTGTTGGCAACATCAAGTGGTAATGAAATTGTGCAATACTTTTAGTCCAATACTTCATTATTAAAACAGATGAAAGTATTTAAAGTTCACATTTTATCTGGAATTATACCCTATTTTATGCCAAAAAACTAGCTTAAATGTATATTTAGAAGATAAAATATATTTTAAAGCATATTTTCCTTTAGAGGACAAACACAGTAACCCACCAGAAAAAATTCTACTCATCATTTTTTCTTTATTTTTATTCTTATTGGATGATTTATAGTTCTAACATATTTGTTGCACTCCTGACCAAAAGCATTGGGGCCTTTAAAGTAGAATTGTGAAGTGAAAATTACACAAGAACTTGTTCTGTTGTTTCAGTGAAGTTGAGGAGGAATAACTTGAATTTAATGACAATGTTTTAGTGTGTTTATTTTTAACGTTCATTAAAAAAATCACAAAAAAGACAAAAACATATCTGAATTGATAAAATTGAAAAAGGAAGGATTTTAATAATAAAACTATCAATAATTTAGCATTAAATTATACAAAAAGATCATTATTAATTAATGAATACCTCTAAGCATGAATAGAAGTCTTTTCGACACACAACTTGAATCTTTAAAAAAATGTGTTGCACTCCTGACCATAGAAATATGGATCTGAAGCACAGACAGATCCTGTAATTGATAAATCTTTTTGGTAAAAATGTTCTTTGTGTCTTTATTTTCCAAAATAAAAATCAGAAAATCATATATTGATAATAGTTTTTTCATGCTTGGGAGCAAAACATCAAATGTTGCACTCCTGACATTTCTGGGCTAGCACATATACTTGACTCTCATTAATGCTGCTTATGATTTATGTAACATTTTTAAGTTTAAAAATGTATATCAGTTATTATTTTACACTTCCAAAATTCTTTTTTGTCTTAATTTTCTATCAGAATTTTACAACTGATGTTTTTTTGGCAACACTACATTTTTTCTGTTGCACTCCTGACATGGTATAACATTTTTTTAAACATCAGCCATGATCACAACTTGATTAAACAAAAGTTATGACAGTCCACATTTAAAGCTCAATACTTGGAATATTATCAGGAAAGTCTTTATTTTCAACATGAAGCATTGTTTTTTATTTCACAGATCTCCAAAAAATATTGAAATTTCAAAATGTCACAAAAAGGTGTTGCACTCCTGACAATTTTAGCATCATTTTTGGGCATAACTTTTTTGTTAATCGAGATATCAATGAGATATTTGGCAGGTATATAGACACTATCTAAAGACATATGCTGAGACATAGAAATCTATTTTTATTGCCTGTATTTTTAGTTTGGGTTGATAAATATGCATTTGGTCATTTTTTTTGAATTCACCCATTTACATTATTTTTCTGATGACTTGCCACATATTTTTGTCATTCAACGATCACTTTTGAAAAAAAAAGTTTGCACTATTTTTTGTCTTCAGTCACATCACAATGGAAATATTCTTACTCCCCCCCCCCCCCCCCAACTTTAAAAATGCCTGTCTTAAAAATAAATGATTAAGCAAACTTCAACTTTCATATTAATAAAATAAATGATTAAGCAACACTTGAACTTTCATAATAATAAAATTGTTTGGTTATGTGCTTTACATTTTTGCAAAAAAATCTCCTTACATTAATACTGCCTAATTTTTTATTGAAACCGCAAATTCAGGACAAGTTTGCTGAAACACCCTGTATTTTTAATATCCATGTACATCTTTAAAAATTGGAATTTTATCATGCCTATTCCTGTGAATTCCCTGTACCTCATTCTTCATTTGCTCCATGTGTTCTTCCTTCTGCTGTAGAAGTTGATCTTTCTCTTTCTTTAGTTTCTCCAACTGAATCTGATAAGGAAACAAAACACAGTATATAAAAGCAAAACACACACGATTTTTTGTCAAAAATATTTACATTATATCTACAGTAAAACATGCTTATAGCAAAGTGTTAGGGACGAACAATTTTGATTTGTTATAAATGTAATTTGTTATATCTGATAAGTCAATAATAAATTTTAGAAATATGAGGAATAAAAATCACCTCGCTGCAAGTATGAATTTGTTATAAGCATGTTGGCTATAACTGTGTTTTACTGTATCTTTGTTTCATTTAGTCATTGTTAAGTGTCTAGCTTACCTGTAATGGCCTTATCTGTTCCTTTGACTCCTGAAAATAACGAGAAATATCAAGTGTTGCTCTACACCACTTCAAGAATATTTCTTTCACAATTGAAATATACAAACTGCATTAAATCTTCTTTTACTAAATGCAGTTAAATCTTACAAGTTCAACTGAAGATGAATTATAAGAACAGTTTATGGTTGTACCATTATCTCTTTTTCATGTTGATCATTCTCATTCAGTAGTGTGGCCTTGTCCTCCTCTAGTTTGTACCGCTGTTGTAAATCACTGTCAATCTGAAGCTTTTCCTCCTTCAGTCGATTCACCTCAGACTTCAAACGCTGCACTTCATCAGAGTGAAGATTTAGTTTCTGTCTCAGACTGTCCAGCTGCTTATTGCAGGAATCACTGTATATGTATATATCAGATCAGGTGTTAGTGTATATAACACTCAGATTAAATGTAATTTTTATCTACATGTCTAAGTTCTGAATGATCTTTCATAGACTCTGCTGACTAACACTTTCATCTGTAAATCTTTACTTAAATGTAAATCTTTTGACTTACACTTTCATCTGTAAATCTTGACTTACATGTAAATCTTTGACTTACACTTTCATCTGTAAATCTTGACTTACATGTAAATCTTTGACTTACACATTCATCTGTAAATCTTTACTTAAATGTAAATCTTTTGACTTACACTTTCATCTGTAAATCTTGACTTACATGTAAATCTGTGACTTACACTTTCATCTGGAAATCTTCAACTTAAACTTTCACCTGTAAATCTTGACTTACATGTAAATCTTTTGACTTACACTTTCATCTGGAAATCTTGACTTACATTTCCATTTGTAAATCTTTGACTTACACTTCCATCTGTAAATCTTTGACTTACACTTTCATCTGTAAATCTTGACTTACATGTTAATCTTTGAATTACACTTTCATCTGTAAATCTTTGATTTACACTTTTATCTGTAAATCTTGACTTACATGTAAATCTTTGACTTACACTTTCATCTGTAAATCTTCCTTTTCATTAATCACATCCTGGAGTGTTCTGTCAGAATCTAGAAAGACAAAGTTTAATTGTTCTTAACACAACCCCCTGTCATGTTTTTCTATCACCAATGTGTTATGATGAATAAGATTGTACCAGATTTACCTCCCCCTGAGAGTTTAGCACTCTCTGTAGCAATCTTCTTCTCTAACTCAGTAACCTCCCCTTGGTACCGATCCATCATGACAATGTCTGGCTGGATCTGTTTGGCCATCTCATCGTCCTGCTCCTGGATACTCAGTTCCTCCTCTTTCTGTTCAAGGTCAAATTCACAATTATTTTAAAAAATGCTTTTCTCTGTAAACTAGACAAAAATACTACCCCACTACATTTAAAAAAAATATTACATTGAATGCTTCTCTTTTACAAAGTCATGGATTAGTTGATTCCTAACCCCCCCCCCCCCCCCAACTAAAAAAAAATATCTGTATTTATGAGAATAGGTAAAAATAGTGACTTACTGTTTGAATATCTTCTCTAAGCTTGGTTATTTCTTCATTAATTTGCTTCAGTTTATTCTTCAGCTGTGGCAATTCTTTGTTTTCTAACACTGCAATCTGAAACAAGTAAGAAATCTACTAAGTGCTGGTTGTTGTTCTTATCTGAGGGGACTACATACATGTAGGGGACTACATACATGCAGGGGACTACATACATGCAGGGGACTACATACATGCAGGGCATCTTTAACTTACATTTTCTTTAAGAGGCTTCAGTTGATTCATGGCATCATACTTTGTACGATATTCATCCAAGTCCTTCTCCGATTTCTGTAACTTGCTTGGTACCATCCTCAACTTGTTTTTCAACTAAATAAAGAAAAACTTTTACTTTTCACTCCAGTTTAAGATGAACAATGAATACAAAGAATATGTAGATGTATATTTCCATGGCTTATAATTACCTAAAGCAATAATAGGGGTATTCAAATCTTAAAATGTTTATTCTAAAAAATTTATTTCAAAAGTCAACACCAACCCAACCATTAAGTGCATCTCTCCAATTTCTACAAAACAATTCTGACCACTGACCTCAATAATGAGTTCCTTGACCTCTTGATCTGTGTCAAATTCTCGATGACAAAGTGGGCAGCATGGGTCCTGTTTCTCCAGGTCACTGACATACTTCTGGAAGAAATGCTCCGCCCCCAACAAAGATCCCCTCTGACTGTAAAGAAAACATTCTGTCAAGTATTCTGAAGTTTTAAATCAGTTTGTAAACTGTAAGATTACAAACAAATGTACAGATGACAGCAACTTCCTATATTATTGTGTGGAAGTACTGTAGATTCTTAAATATATGTGAGGAATTAATTATCATATAATTTCACAAGAAGCACCACTCGCAAAATAAAATTACTCTCTTTTATGGTGCTGAAATCAATGTAAAATCTCTTGATTAACCGTCCACTCACAAATTATTGTTCTCGCGATTTGATGTTAACAAGCCACTTGGCGATAATAAGTACTCGCGAAAAATAAGGAATCTACAGTATCTGTTATCAACACACTTCTAATGCTTTGATTTTTTCTTTGTTTATCAAATGAATGCAAATAATTTTAAACGGTATATTTATGGAAGCATTAGTTACATCTTTAATTAAAATGTTTTCAGAAAAGATATGCCATACCTGCATACATGTACATGTATTGTGAAATTTTTTTTCAAGCTTGCAGACTGCTCTGTAAATTCATGTCTTGTCTATCAATACACTTGATTTTCAAAGTAAATAAATAACCTTGCATGTATATGCATAAAGTCACTGAAAAGAAGCGTTTTCTTGAGACACTTTAAAACAATTATACTTTGAAGCAGTTTTCTCTTACTCTTGTGCTGTGGACATTTTCTCTTGTAGAGAAGCCAATCCCTCATCAAAGTTCTGACTCCCACACACAGAAAAGATTCTCTCCTCCACATCTACAGACAGATAATTGTTGATTACTGTATGTGTACATAAAAATACTGGTAATGCTTATTCAAAATGCCAGAGAAAAGTCCATTCTACACTTGCTCTAAATTTTAAAAATACTAAAGGACAGTTCTTGGTCAAAATTTTCTTGTCATTCTATTTAAAAATCAGAAGAATTTTGACCTACTTTTAAATTCTTCTTCCTTTTTCTTCAGAGTTTCCCTGGAAAAGAATAATACTTTATGTCACTACATCTTATGAGCAACTAATATCAAAGCAGAATACTCAGCATTACATGGATACAGAAGCCTCTGATGAAGGACATTACCCAATCATTTTTTTCTCTGCCTCTTTACTGGAGAGCTTGCTTTTGCTTGCCTGTATTTCCTGACTCAAACGCTTCACTGATTCAGTCTGTTCCCTGAAAAATAACAGCCATTTAAATATAAAATAACAAGACTTGTGTCCCCTGTCCTGATTTGTTTTATCTATGATCTACATTATGCAGATCTAGAACATACATTTTTGGGGAGTATGAAATAGGAAACACTTTGAACACTTTACCCTATATACTCATCCAGCTCTCCTCGTACATTCCTAGCAGGCATGTGCCCCAGCAGGTGTTTCAATGTGTCTTCCTGTTTGGCACGCCTGTAAACAACACACATGTAGTTAAAATCAATACCCATTCAAAACAATGCAACAATTACTGTAGTTATTTTCATGTAGATGGTGAGGCAAAAAATTGCTTTAATTTCATATTATAAAACAAGTAAGAGTTCTCTCCCTTGGTCTTGATAATCTAAGTCTCCATTAATCATTATCAATATGATGTTAGAGTTATGTCCCTTGACACATACAATCTGCGGATCTGTTCCTCTTTAGCTGTCTTGTCTTTCTTCAGAACCTCCAGCTGGGCTCGAGCGCTGGACTGAAGGTGAAGCCGGTTCATCTCAGAACTGAAAAAAAAATCAAGTTCATAAACAGGAACACTTCATGTAAAATAGCTTTACAGAATTCCAGCTGGTTGTAAACAGACCTTAGATCACTGATAATGGCATCCAGTTTAGACTTCTCCTTGGACAGAGACTCAATCTTTTCTTTAATTTCATTTACATTCACTGACTTCTCTGTTGTGCTTAATTCATGTTCCTGAAATTTTTAAGTTATCCAACACAATTTTAAACAAATAACATATCAAGTTTAGTGAGCTTATTTCAAAATGCTGATAAATAAAGTTGAAGGATGATGCATTTATAAAGAAAACTAATCTGGTAGATAGTTCACAAATGAACTGCATCCTCCCTTTTTTAGGAATAGAAAACAAAATGCCCACGGACCACAACTTGTATCTAAATGAACTGAGCATTCTATCCTGGCTAGGATTACTATGTAATAGTTGAAACACTAAATTGTGCATAAAAGTGAAAGCCCAAAGTTCCCACAATTCTTGCCACCAGTATACTAATGTTTGATATCAGGTTTACAAATTTGAAAAAGCAGATATTCCTTTTAGAAGTCTATATTTATATTGTGACATGATCCTTCGACTTCAGCAGGACTGATTCAACATTGCATCAGGGTGCTTGGACATTGATATGTAAAATGAATACTTTCATGCATTTTTTTTCTAAATTTTTTTTCATGAATCTTTACAATCCTTTTTCACCACAAATCTGTGTTTCACCTGTACACAAAATTATACAATGTGAAGGATAATGTACAAGTTCAATTGTAGCTATGTAGGTCTGTAGAGCTGGAAATTACTCTATATACATGTATTTCAAAAACTTCGGCAACTTACTATAGCCCCACCTTGGTCCCAGGGCCATAGATTGAACAGACTTATGGGACTGCTCGTATTTAAATTTTACTAACTTTAGCCTTGGTCTTCTCCAGATTTTTTCAAGTTTTCTCCTACACTTTGTACATTTATACCTTACACTTTGGTCCCTACTGCAGACCCATCATCGGGAGAGCAATGTTATGAACAAACATGAATCTACACTAAATGGGAATGATTTCATATCAATACTGTGGTCCTGTCATTCTTGAGGTCCAACATAAAACTTCAGTATTTCATATTGGGCATCAATTTGGTATGATTTGAGAAAACTTGGACGTACTCTTCTATCATCACTTCTGAAAAGATTTTCCCAAAGAAAACATGCAGTCCTTCATTTGAACAAACCTAACTTCTCTTCACCTAAGGAGGCTCATTGGGAAAATTTATAAAAACTAGTCTGACTAGTTGTCATGCAGAAATAGTCAAAAGTTTACAGACAACAGGAAGACAGACTCATGCAAATTTTTCAATCAGAAGAGCTCACTTGAGATTATGGCTCAAATGAACTGTGGAATTATTATACATTCAACGATTTTAATAGAGTGCTAAAAATTTTTAAAATGTTATAGGAAGAAATTTTATGGGCAAACCTTTTTATGTAGCCTATAGTATGTATCAATTTTTGACAATAGTTTTAAGCTTTTTGGTAAGGGATACCCATGAAATCCACAAAATTGACCCCTCCTCCCCAACCTTTACAACCCCCCCCCATGAAATTGGATAATTCCCCAGTAAGTTTGTTGGTTTAACTGACCGCTCGTTTGAGGTCCCTGTTGATCTGGTCCCTCCTTCCGGCCGAAGCCTCCACCTCACTCAGCTTTTTGTTGATTTGCTTAATCTTCTGTGTATTCTCTGTCTGGAAAATAAAATATCACATGTCAACATGGACAACGGAGATAATTATAACATCACGTCATCACAGACGACGGAGAAAAATGTTACATCATGTCAACACGGGCAACGGAGAAAAATATAACATCACGTCAACACGGACAACGAGAAAAATGAAAATCAAGTCAACAAGGACAACAAAGAAAAATATAACATCACATGTCAACATGGCCAACGGAGAAAAATATAACATCACATGTCAACATGGCCAACGGAGAAAAATATAACATCACATGTCAACATGGCCAATGGAGAAAAAAATAACATCACATGTCAACATGGCCAACGGAGAAAAATATAACATCATATGTCAACATGGCCAACGGAGAAAAATATAACATCACTTGTCAACATGGCCAACGGAGAAAAATATAACATCACATGTCAACATGGACAACGGAGAAAAATATAATATCACATGTCAACATGGCCAACGGAGAAAAATATAATATCACATGTCAACACGGACAATGACAACAAAGACAACAGAGAAAAATATAACATCACATCAACACGGACAATGACAACACAGACAACGGAGAAAAATATAACATCACGTCAACATGGACAACGGAGAAAAATATAATATCACATGTCAACATGGCCAACGGAGAAAAATATAATATCACATGTCAACACGGACAATGACAACAAAGACAACAGAGAAAAATATAACATCACATCAACACGGACAATGACAACACAGACAACGGAGAAAAATATAACATCACGTCAACATGGACAACGGAGAAAAATATAACATCACGTCAACATGGACAACGGAGAAAAATATAACATCACGTCAACACGGACAACGGAGAAAAATGTAACATCAGCATGGGCACTTAAGAAAACTTTTAATGCTTAAAAGAAACACCCTTCAGCTGACAAACAAGGATATCCATCAGGACATCAGCAAGCTACGAAAAACACTTTTATATTATCTGAACAAACTTTTACAGCAGCCTTGGATACCAAACCCATAAATTTTATGTCCTGTAATACTGTATGAGCAGAATTTTTAGCAGGGATTCAATTTTGGCAAGAGTGTTGAGATTGCTAAAATTGAATATGGCTGACAATTCATTCTGCATTGGAGGTAACAATTACATTTCCTGACACGATAAAATTGTAAAAAATTACTTCTTGCTAAAATTCTAAACCAATTTTTTGGGACAAATTGCTAAAGTTGTTTCCAGGGCTTTCACACCACTTTTTGGGACTGGGGCCAGGGCCATACAATTGGAAAAATTAGCGATCTTTTGGGGGGAAATCATATCAAATTATAATCTTGTTTCATTATCAACAAAATTTCTATTTTTCAGTATAGAGAAATACGAATAACAAGTTCATCTATTGTACGTGCTGTATCTATCTAAATTTTTGGGGGAAAATAATTATTGAGAAAATAAAAACATTCAATTGGGAAAAAAGGTCTTTTTTGATATTGCGAATGGGGCCTACAAACAACCCAAATAATGACATTTGAGAGCCCTGGTATCTCACTAAAAATTCCACTTATACAGTGTAAATTGTTGGCATTAAAGAAAGCTATCTCCCAGTTTTATTAATAACTATTCTTCACGGGTTATATCCTTACCATAAGGTTTGTCTTGAGTCGTTCGTTCTGTTCTAGTTTAGTTTTCTTGTCGCGAACCTCATCCAATCTCTGCTGCATGCTGGTGTCCTTCTCCTCATAGTCTGCCTGATAAAACAATGAACAGCTATCATGTATTAGAGGACACTCTTTCTGGTTCATTAGTAGAAGAAAACTCACAAAGTGTTTCTTGTTGTGATAAATGTACGTAAAGACATTCATTTAATTGTAACAAGTCATCTACACTATTATTTTAAGTTAGAAAACAATGTGTCAACTCCATAGTAGACTTACTTTGACGGTTTTTCCATCCTCCAGTAAAGTTTCTATTTTTGTTCTCATGATGTCCATGAATGCTCGATACTGTTCATCAGACATCTCCCCTCTACTGTATCCTAATAACAAAGAAATTAAAATTTCAAAATTAACTAGAAAACTAATGGTCATACTAAGAGTGCCATTGTGCTTGTGTAAATAGCCTTGAACTCTGGTTCTTGAAATTTGACCCCAAAAATTCAAGACACTCATGCTCATAAACTGATGACTTGTACCCCATTCATACGACGAAAATTTGCTTATGTGTGCAAATTTACAGATGAGTAAATTTACACACACAAGTAAACGTTAATTTGCCATGCGTTCAGATGATATTTATGTACCGTAAGTAAATCCTCAAATTGTCATTTAAAATAAGGAGATGGACTGCTTCAGACTTGTGAATTTTCACAGAATAAGGGTACTTCTTTACTATTTGGGTATAGGACTAACTTTTGGATGTTCCTCAAAGAAACTAGAAGAAAAGTCCGATCAAATGATTGATACGACAGAACCATTCTTAATGACTTAAAGAATGACGATTGGTATGAGAATTTTCGAATGATTAAGGAAAATTTCGTAAAATTTTGTGAGAAGTTGGAAAATGCTTTGGTCCCGGCCCAAAGACTGTGGAAGAGCTGTTGGATGTGAAGGTGGCTGTTGCCATCTACTGGTTAGCATCTTCAGCGGACAATGAGGCAAAGATAACACAGTTTTTCTTACGAATATACCTTTAGTTCATAGGTTTAGTAATTTTAAGATTTTTGCCCTTATATTTCTGCTCAAATACCAGTTTGATCTCCAAGATGGCAGCCAAGGGAAATAACTCGAAGGGAAAATGCGTCATATGAAATCTATCTATTTACTAAATGCTGACTTGAAACAAGACGTTGAAATCCCTGTAACATCAACTTATCTGTCAGTAGTCTGCCTCAGTTTAAAAACTGAGAAGGGATGAAAGTTATCAAGGGCTAAACTGTTTTGGAGCAACTGATGGCACGCGTATCCTATTATAGCTCCTAAGCATTCACACGGAGAATACTTGAACAGGAAGAAGTTCTACTCATTGAATCTGCAGGGTGTTTGCGACCACAGCTATATCTTTAGAGACATAAAGCATTTTTGCCATTCGAAAATTTATTTCAGAGGAGATAATGGCTCCTTGTGTTTCCAGAGTGGAGAAAGCAATTTGAAGAAAGTACTATGCTAGTCTCAGCGACCCAGCATATATCCTTTGAAGACTTGGCTTTTGAAGCCATACACCAACAGATCTACCCTTACAGAAACTCAATTCACTTTCAAAATTTGTTTACGTAGCGCAAGAATGACCGTTGAAAATCCACGTTTTTTAGAGCCGCCATGTTTACCGACTGATATTTTACATGTCAATGCATATACAATGCTTAAAATGGAGATTGATGCAATACACGTGACGAAAAAACTTACTTAAGTAAATTTGCTGTATGTTCATACGACAAACTTTACACACAGGAGCAAATAATTTGCGACGACGTGTATGCAAAAGTTAATTTGCACCTTGTCCTGACCAGGTGTAAATTTACTCAACTGTGCAGAATTTGCATATGAGCAAATCAGTTCATACGACAAAATTGCACATGTAGGTATATTTACATATGTGTAAAATATACTGAGGTAGGCAAATCGTGTCGTATGAATGGGGTATTGGTAGCCAAATGACCCCAGCTTATAAAAAAATCATTTTTTTGGCATCAATCAATATTACAATATCATACTTTGTGAACAAGTCCACTAACCTTCAATATGGTACTTTGTGAACAAGTCCACTAACCTTCAATATGGCACTTTGTGAACAAGCCCACTAACCTTAAATATGGTACTTTATGAACAAGTCCACTACCCTTCAATATGGTACTTTATGAACAAGTTCACTAACCTTCAATATGGTACTTTGTGAACAAGTCCACTAACCTTCAATATGGTACTTTGTGAACAAGTCCACTAACCTTCAATATGGTACTTTGTGAACAAGTCCACTAACCTTCAATATGGCACTTTGTGAACAAGTCCACTAACCTTCAATATGGCACTTTGTGAACAAGTCCACTAACCTTCAATATGGCACTTTGTGAACAAGTCCACTACCCTTCAATAACATACTTTGTGAACAAGTCCACTAACCTTCAATATGGTACTTTGTGAACAAGTCCACTAACCTTCAATATGGTATTTTGTGAACAAGTCCACTAACCTTCAATATGGTATTTTGTGAACAAGCCCCACTAACCTTCAATATCATACTTTGTGAACAAGTCAACTTTTCAATATCATACTTTGTGAACAAGCCTCACTAACCTTCATTGTCATACTTTGTGAACAAAGTCCACTAACCTTCAATATGGTACTTTGTGAACAAGTCCACTAACCTTCAATATGGCACTTTGTGAACAAGCCCACTAACCTTAAATATGGTACTTTATGAACAAGTCCACTACCCTTCAATATGGTACTTTATGAACAAGTTCACTAACCTTCAATATGGTACTTTGTGAACAAGTCCACTAACCTTCAATATGGTACTTTGTGAACAAGTCCACTAACCTTCAATATGGTACTTTGTGAACAAGTCCACTAACCTTCAATATGGCACTTTGTGAACAAGTCCACTAACCTTCAATATGGCACTTTGTGAACAAGTCCACTAACCTTCAATATGGCACTTTGTGAACAAGTCCACTACCCTTCAATAACATACTTTGTGAACAAGTCCACTAACCTTCAATATGGTACTTTGTGAACAAGTCCACTAACCTTCAATATGGTACTTTGTGAACAAGTCCACTAACCTTCAATATGGCACTTTGTGAACAAGTCCACTACCCTTCAATAACATACTTTGTGAACAAGTCCACTAACCTTCAATATGGTACTTTGTGAACAAGTCCACTAACCTTCAATATGGTACTTTGTGAACAAGTCCACTAACCTTCAATATGGTATTTTGTGAACAAGCCCCACTAACCTTCAATATCATACTTTGTGAACAAGTCAACTTTTCAATTTCATACTTTGTGAACAAGCCCCACTAACCTTCATTGTCATACTTTGTGAACAAAGTCCACTAACCTTCAATATCATACTTTGTGATCAAGCCCCATCAACCCTCATTGTCATACTTTGTGAACAAGCCTACTAACCTTCAATATCATACTTTGTGAACAAGCCTACTAACCTTCAATATCATACTTTGTGAACAAGTCAACTTTTCAATATCATACTTTGTGAACAAGTCAACTTATCTTCAATATCATACTTTGTGAACAAGTCAACTTAACTTCAATATCATACTTTGTGAACAAGCCTACAAACCTTCAATGTCATACTTTGTGAACAAGTTCACTAACCTTCAATATCGTACTTTGTGGCAAGCTTCTTTATTTCAGCATCCCTTTTCTTCATATTGTCTTTGTATCTCTGTTGGAAGATATTCAAAAACCCATAACATGAAAAGCCTTACATATAATACTAAAACTCTCTACAGCATGAATCCAAATATCCTTTTTCCTGCAGTGACCTTGGTTTTGTGGTTTTTATCTTTGGATCCGGTTGATATAGAATATGCCATGGATATGAACATTTATTGTGTAAAAAATAAGTCTGATTCAGAAATGGACTACTGACAGAGAGTAATGGATAAGAAATAAATTTTTACTCTTATTTTACAAAATTAAAGACATTTTCTTAGTTCAAATGATTTTCAGACCGAGTCAGAAAATAAAAGCGCATTAACATATGCTTTTATGAAATCAAAACTTTGACACACTTAATCTAAAAGCTGCTACATACTGTAAACATACTGTAAACATACTTATTACAGCACCTTTCCCATCATGTCTTACATGCTACTTCATGTACAGTACACATTACAAGAAATAGAACTTACACACTGCCATTTTTAAAACTCAAGTGGACTAATTTATATGAGCTATTTAATTTCAGAAAAAAGATTGCACTAAATTTTGAGTGCTTAAATGTATGACTGTTTACAGTGTTTATCAAAAGTAATATTTTCATTCTCTATCTCTGGCTCTATAACTTGCAATTCACAGTAGTCAAGAGACTGAAATTTATTCCTTATCAAGTGACAGGATCTGAAGTATAGATACTCTACATACCTCGGACTCTTGCTCCAGTTTTCCCACTTCCATCAACAAATTCCCTCGCTCCTGACCAAGTTTTTCCAGCTCCTTGTTTAATTCTCTTTGAAGCAACTGAAACTACACACAGAAAAAAGATGGCTCAATAATTAAAATCTCACATAAACTGCTTTAAACTTTCATGTCCTTTAAATTTACCTTAAAAAAATGAAAAAGTTTTTGCTAGTTAACTATATATAAGGTTTTATTACATTTTCAACAGTGAAATACTGTGATTTTTTTATTGAATAAAAGTGATATTCTCTCACAGTGTGAAGGGATACCAGTGATATTTTCTCACAGTGTGAAAGGATATCAAAGTAAGTAAAAAAAAATTCTGGCCAGTCGTAAGATATTAACTAAACCATCTTGATAGAGACTAAAACTGCCAATATTTCTTCCCAAGTATGTTGCTAAAATCCATGTTACAATGTTTTCAATCTCACAATTGCTAAGATATGACGTCTCAACTGCTCAACTATAACGTCACAGCCTATGTCACTGTGTTAAGAAAAGCCAGAGGCAAAGAGAAAATCATGAGACAGGATTTTTTGATATTTTCACTCGTGCTTCGCACTTGTGAAAATATCAAAAAATCCTGTCCCACTCGTGAAATAAATTCCATATCCAACTACAAAACATTGAATATCCTCTACATATTCACCCTGTGTTATTTTTGCCCTTTCACACTTGAAAGCAATTTAGCTCCATTTTAATTTCCCCCAGTCACAGTTTTGTTTAAGAAATTATACTATTTTCTTTTAATTCAGCCTGTCTTAAATTCACCCACTTGTGTCTAGGGCGAAAGGGGCAAAAACAAAACGGGGGCAAAAATATCCCTGTATACAGTATCTAAATTTGTAAAAAAAAAAAAATGACTCTAAGAGCTAGTCACAAAACACTGGTATTATTACTGCATAGCTATATATAGTAAACTAGTCAAAACCAGTCATTAACAATAACCATTATAAAAAAAAAATCACCAGACCATACATCTTGATTGGAGAAAGATTTAGAAATGAGCCTACCTGTTCCACCGTCTCTTGTCTCTCTTGTACCATGTTCTCAAACTCAGCTATTGCCTTCTTTAGCTCCTCCATAGAACCTGACAAATAACACATACACACTCGTCACTCAGAAATAACCTAATATCACAGACACAAAAGCCATATCATTTCTCTTTTTCTTCCTTCATAATAAATTTACATGTACATGTATATGTGTATGAACATATTTTAAAAATCATTAATACGAACCTTGAAATTCATTTTTGATTTGACTTCTGAGTTCTGTTGCTGAATTCTCCATCATTTTCATTTCACTTCTGTACTTTTCTATAATATACATGTTAATACAAATACATCAAAAGGTCTGTGTTACTAAAGATAGGATTAGCTCAATATGTGAACTTTTTTGCATATACTGCATTTAGTACATGTTTAAGACAAATACTAATTCCGGGCCTGGGAAGGGGGGCACACCATGTGCCATATGCGCATAATGGCGAAAAATTAGGCAATGAAATATTGGTGCAGTGCACCATGTGATGCGCCCTGCATAATGCAGGCAGGCATGATTTTCTGGTTTGTAAGTTCGTTGCAGTTGGCACTATCAGTATTCTTCATTGAAGTTAGAGGAAATCTGTGATGTATCATATAATAAAATAAGAACCACCATTCAAAAAATTCTGATATCCACTGGCGAAAAAATGGAAAATTTTCCTGTCTGCCGTCCAAAACCACTTGACACTTAGGAACCACAAGGGAGTGACCACCTCTTTAAATAAGAAAGTCATGCTCATGAAAATATTACCTGACAATGAAATACAATATCAATGAATTCTATCTATCTTCGCCTGTCCCTCGTTCTCTTAACAGAATCTTTTTGGTGCTTTTGGTTCAGATATAATTTTTCTAAATACTTCCTGTGTTTTATGATGAATGTTTTATGAAGTTCTTTGAAACAGAAAAATCATTTCCACCAGACAATGTCGGATACATATGCGATGACTTGTCAATTCCTATCGCTTCCCCCCCCCCCCAAATTTTGTTGTCAGAGTTATATGCAGTATCAAAGCATCATACTATGATATATTTTAGAATGGCCCCAATATATCTTCTCATGGCCCCTTGAATTTCAAAATGGTCCACCTGTTGTTTGACCTTCCTAAGCCCTGCAATTAAGGTAAAAAGGAGTTATTGTAATTCATACTTGTCACCTCTAACTTTAAATTTATACATGCCTATCTTGGTCTGTATCCTGTAAATTTTGTCCGACTGATTCCCAATTTGGTCTAGCTTCTCCTGCAAACAATATTGTATTAATGATGAAATCTTTGTAATCTCTGTGGAATTGTTAACAAAGCAAAACTGAATAGAAATACAAAATCTGATAATCAGTCAGTGAAGTTAGATAAATATCAAAAGAAAAGGAATTTCATTGGTAAAGTTACAGACTTATTGCAACTAGGTGTAATTTACTAACTGTAAGCTACTTGAACTTACAGTTACTATCATGATTGTACCATTGTAAGTTACCAATTAAAAAAATGTTTATAAGTTATCTACTTACTTCATTTGGTCACATTCTACTGACTTTATAAACTGACTGTAAGTTACAGACTTAACTGTGAATGACTGTACTGTATTGATTTAATTTACTTCACTATATCCCTAATTCAGCGTATCCATATAACAAATTCGTTAAAATATACATTGCAAATTCCCAATAAAGATTTTTTTCCTTCAAGTATGACTACAAAATGTATTAAGGAAAGTATAAAATACAAAATTTACCTTGGAGTTCAAAAGTTTTCGGTGAATAGTTTCAAATATATAAACTTACAAAATTAATGTCAGTTCAATATTATTAAAAAAATTATATCTTTGAAAATTCACTGTAAAAGATGTAAATTTTGTTACTTCTAACTTCTAGGGGACACAGAATCAGTTTGTTATAACTGAAAATTCGCTATATCCGAGATTGTTATATCCATAAAATTTAATAAGAATTGTTAAGAGTTTCGCCAGGGATTGAAAAAAACCCCCCACTATATCCGTAAATTCGTTATATCTGTGTTCGTACTAAACAGGTTTCACTACTGAAGTAACTGATACTTACTATAACTGGTTGTAACTTGGCCTCAATCTTCTCTACTGTTTCCCGACAGGCCATCATTTTTGTTTCTCTTTCATTTTTGTCAGCTTCAAGCTACAGTATAAAAGATGAATAATAATGACAATGGGTTTTCTCCCTTCATATAGAGGCCAATAGTAAAATTACTCTGGAGTTGAAAGTCTAACTTTTATAAAAAAATTGACCTGTAAATATGTTTTTTTTCCCTTTCTCTATTTACATGTACATGTATACACATATATCATAGGTAGAAAGCTGCAAATGGATTTTCTAAAATATTAAGACTGAAGTACAATATACTCTTCCATGAGATAACATTTCTTAAAAGAAATTCAAGTCTGTGAAACAGATTTCAGAGTTAAAAATTCATCCCCCCCAAAAAAAAATTTAAAAGCCATTTCAGCCCCTGAATTGCATCTTTTATGGGACTAAATCAAATTCCATGAGGTGTTACTTTTAAAAGATTAAAAAAAACCCCTGTTTTTATCTTAGTTTACTTTCTTTGAGTGAATTCTGCAGCCAGTGTCATTGTGCCATTCTCTATAAATGACTAAAGCTGTTGCTCAACTGGCTGAAAAAGTCCAGTCTATTTATTTTCTTTCTTTGGAATTACTCCTCCCCAACAAGAGGCATATGGGCCACAAAGCTCACCTGAGCAAATTATTCCTGCTGTTCTTCAGTAGATTTTTTACCAGATTTTTCTCCTTTATTTTCCCACAAAATATTTTGGCCCAATCCTAGCTCTAAGAGGTCTCTTACCTCAAAACATGGGATGCTTCAATATCGATATAACTAACACACTCTTGCAGTTCTCAGCAAGAAAATTCTTTCCAATTTTATACAAGCATTGTGTCAAATTTAATCCTGATTTTAGCCAACTCTAACCCAGAGTCCATAATTTGAACAAAAGAAGAATCCATACAACTTGGAAATGTTTGTAAATTTATTTAATGTTTCTATTGTAGTTCCTGAGAAGATTCTTAAAATAATTTTCTTATATAGCCCTATGTAAAACTTTGATTCTCATTTGTGGCTTAATCCTTTAATCCTACACTTTAAAATCTACAAGTCTGAAAAATTTCTCACAAGTTTCTTCTTTTCTGGTCCAGTGGTTCTTGAGAAGAAGATTTTAAAGATGTTTTCCTATATATTTTTGCTACATATTCCAATTTAAAAATTTGATCCCCTATTTTTCACCCCCCAGAGGTCATGATCTGAAAAATATAAAATTCAATACTACGTAAGGAAGCTTTCATATGTTTCATCTTTTCTGGTCTAGTGGTTCTTGAGAAGAAGATTTTTTCCTATATTCCAATATAAAAAAATCATCCCTTATTTTCTTCCCACCCTACCCCCACGGGCCATGGTTTGAATAGTTTAGAATCTGCAATACCTCAGAAAGCTTTTCCAAGTTTGATCTTTTCTGGCCCAGTGATTCTTTAGAAAAAAATTTAATAACCTCTTCTTAATTTTTTCCTTGTCTTGGCCCTTCATTTGAACAATTTAGAATACCCTTTACTCAAAGATGCTGTGTGGCAACATTGGTTAAAGCTGGCCCAGTGGTTCTCAAGAAGAAATTGAAAATGTGAAAAGTTTACAGACGGACAGACAGACAGACACCACACAGTAAGTGTTCAGAAAAGCTAACTTGATCTTTCAGCCTGGTTTACAGCATATGGAGTTTATGTCTTTCAGTTGATTCAATACACAACAGAATATTCTACATACGAACAATATCTAATCAGGCAAGCTATTGACAAATTAGTTGATGATACCAGGATAATTAAAAATTTTCTTTAAAGTCAACATTTCGCAAATTCTATGGTAGATAAATGACTTAGTTGAAAACACAATCTGTTGTTGAGTCGAATGTTTACCAATATGCTAAAAAAAAATTGTTAGGACATTATTTTCACACTGAATTGACTATGAATTTTTCTATTTGCCCAATCATGACAGGAGCACGCAGCAGGTGTGACCAGTTGACAGAGGATGCTTACGCCTCCATGTCACCTGATCCCACCTCTGTTTTTAGAGGTCTGTGTTGGTTCTGCTTATCATTTGTATTGTCTAAATGGACTTTCTGAGAACGACCATTGTTCGTTGTATTCACATTTCATTTCTACATGTGTACAAAATTTTAACCAAAAAAAAACAACTTTCTATAACCAAAGTGTTTTTTTTTACCTGTTCTGATTTATCTTTCAGCTGTTTAAGGTGGGTCACTTCCTGTTTGTAAAGTTTAAGTTCCTGGTCCTGAGTCTGTTTTAACTTCCTGATGGTTTCCAGAGCTTTGACGTATCGGGTGGAAGCAAATATAGCATCAAACTTTTCCTTCAGAGCCTTTCCTTCACTCAGAGGCCTATCATCAAAGCAAAGTTTTATGTCATTATGAATAACCCTCAGCTAAATACACACAGGTCATGTAATTTGTTTGAAAAAGTATTAAACAAATGTATATTCATATACAGTTGAACTTCAGTATCTCGAACACCGATATCTCGAATACCATAGATATGTTGAAGTGATTTAGTAGTCCAAGCCACTTATTCTTGGAAGTATTTTACTCTCGATATCTCGAATCCTCTGATATCTTTAAGTTTTTTCTCGGTCCCATCCAGTTCGAGATAACAAGGTATGACTGTATGTCAAAACATACATTATTTTCAATAACTAGTTAAGTTCTCATGATTCTTATTTACATAGATAACTAATTATGTTGAATCTGGTTTACCTGGATGACTTGTTATGGTACACTTTGACTTACCTGGATTGACTCAGGTAGAGTTTGGTTTATGTTGATGACTTGTAATGGTACATTGTGACTTATCTAGATTGACTAGTGGTAGATTTTGATTCACCTGGATGATTTATCATGTTACATTGCGACTTAACTAGATAGATTTGTGGCAGAATTTGACCTACCTTAATGACTTATGGTAGATTTTGACTTACCTAGCTGATGTATCATGGTACATTGTGACTTTCCTAAATGACGTATTATGGTACATTTTGACTTTCCTTAATGACGTATTATGGTATATTGTGACTTACCTAGATGATGTATTATGGTATATTGTGACTTATCTAGAGGACGTATTATGTTACATTGTGACTTTCCTAAATGATGTATTATGGTACATTGTGACTTTCCTAAATGACGTATTATGGTACATAGTGACTTACCTAGATGACCTATTATGGTATATTGTGACTTACCTAGAGGGCATATTAGGTACATTGTGACTTACCTAGAGGACGTATAATGGTACATTGCGACTTACCTAGAGGACGTATTATGGTACATTGTGACTAACCTGAGGACATATTATGGTACATTGTGACTAACCTGAGGACATATTATGGTACATTGTAACTAACCTAGAGGACGTATTATGGTACATTGTGACTTACCTAGAGGACGTATTATGGTACATTGTGACTAACCTGAGGACATATTATGGTACGTTGTGACTAACCTGAGGACGTATTATGGTACATTGTGACTAACCTAGAGGACGTATTATGGTACATTGTGACTAACCTAGAGGACGTATTATGGTACATTGTGACTAACCTGAGGACATATTATGGTACATTGTGACTAACCTAGAGGACGTATTATGGTACATTGTGACTAACCTAGAGGACGTATAATGGTACATTGTGACTTACCTAGAGGACGTATTATGGTACACTGTGACTTACTTACCAGTTGGAATCTTCCTGGTGACAAAAGATGACATTCTCCAGAACTGGTTTGGAAACACCCAGAGATGTAATCATCTGAAAAAAATATTCCAGTAATGTGAAAGACAATTCTTTAAACATTTTATGTTGAGCCTTTTATCTATCTCAGCACATTATTAATGTGAACACACTTTTCTCTTAGTGCGCTATTAATGTGACCACTCTATCTCAGAACACTATAAATGTGATCACTCTATCTCAGAACACTATAAATGTGACCACTCTATCTCAGAACACTATAAATGTGACCACTCTATCTCAGAACACTATAAATGTGACCACTCTATCTCAGAACACTATAAATGTGACCACTCTATCTCAGCATGACCACTCTATCTCAGCACACTGTAAATGTGATCACGTTATCTCAGCACACTATAAATGTGACCACTCTATCTCAGCATGACCACTCTATCTCAGTACACTATTAATGTGACCACTCTATCTCAGCGCGCTATTAATGTGACCACTCTATCTCAGAACACTATAAATGTGACCACTCTATCTCAGCACACTATAAATGTGACCACTCTATCTCAGCATGACCACTCTATCTCAGCACACTATAAATGTGACCACTCTATCTCAGCACACTGTAAATGTGACCACTCTATCTCAGCACACTATAATTGTGACCACTCTATCACAGTACACTATAAATGTGACCACTCTATCTCAGCATGACCACTCTATCTCAGCACACTATAAATGTGACCACTCTATCTCAGCATGACCACTCTATCTCAGCACACTATAAATGTGACTATCTCAACACACTATAAATGTGACTATCTCAGCACACTATAAATGTGACCACTCTATCTCAGCACACTATAATTGTGACCACTCTATCACAGTACACTATAAATGTGACCACTCTATCTCAGCATGACCACTCTATCTCAGCACACTGTAAATGTGACCACTCTAAAAGACATTTTATAACCAATTCAACATATCGTGATACAAATCGTATCGTGGTTCAACTATCTCAGCACACTATAATTGTGACCACTCTATCACAGTACACTATAAATGTGACCACTCTATCTCAGCATGACCACTCTATCTCAGCACACTATAAATGTGACCACTCTATCTCAGCACACTATAAATGTGACTACTCCATCACAGCACACTATAAATGTGACCACTCTATCTCAGCACACTATAAATGTGATCACTCTATCTCAGAACACTACAAATGTGACCACTCTATCTCAGCGCGCTATTAATGTGACCACTCTATCTCAGCATGACCACTCTATCTCAGCACACTATAAATGTGACCACTCTATCTCAGTACACTATAAATGTGACCACTCTATCTCAGCGCGCTATTAATGTGACCACTCTATCTCAGCGCACTATTAATGTGACCACTCTATCTCAGCACACTATAAATGTGACCACTCTATCTCAGCACACTATAAATGTGACCACTCTATCTCAGCACACTATAAATGTGACCACTCTATCTCAGCATGACCACTCTATCTCAGCACACTATAAATGTGACCACTCTATCTCAGCACACTATAAATGTGACTACTCTATCTCAGCATACTATAAATGTGACCACTCTATCTCAGCACACTATAAATGTGACCACTCTATCTCAGCACAATATAAATGTGACCACTCTATCTCAGCACACTACAAATGTGACCACTCTATCTCAGCACACTATAAATGTGACCACTCATCTAAGCACACTATAAACAGACTTGTCGAAATTTTGAAATCACTGTCAGACATTTGGTCTGACAAAGTCAAATGTTCTGTCGGACCGGACAAAGTTTTGTCAGACCAGATACATGTACCTTATTTTGACGCTGAGAAAGGAAAATAGCAGCACCAAAATGTCCTTTAATATTTTCAACAGCCTTCAATCTCACAAGTTTCTTTACTTAGGATAGAGAGTCTTTAATAAGAGACATAAATAACATATTTTATGTCTTTTCTGTAACAATTTAAATTGACCATCGTCACTACGCCACGCACACGGCCATCTCTTCTTTGTTTGCGACCTTCAGTTGCGCATCCCGATCCCGACCTTTTTTAAATTTGCGTCACGCTCACTATAATTGTGACCACTCTATCACAGTACACTATAAATGTGACCACTCTATCTCAGCATGACCACTCTATCTCAGCACACTATAAATGTGACCACTCTATCTCAGCATGACCACTCTATCTCAGCACACTATAAATGTGACCACTCTATCTCAGCACACTATAAATGTGACTACTCCATCACAGCACACTATAAATGTGACCACTCTATCTCAGCACACTATATATGTGATCACTCTATCTCAGCACACTATAAATGTGACCACTCTATCTCAGCACACTGTAAATGTGACCACTCTATCTCAGCACACTATTAATGTGATCACTCTATCTCAGTTCACTATAAATGTGACCACTCTATCTCAGCACACTATAAATGTGACCACTCTATCTCAGCACACTATAAATGTGATCACTCTATCTCAGCACACTATAAATGTGACCACTCTATCTCAGCACACTATAAATGTGACTACTCTATCACAGCACACTATAAATGTGACCACTCTATCTCAGCACACTATAAATGTGACCACTCTATCTCAGCACACTATAAATGTGACCACTCTATCTCAGCATGACCACTCTATCTCAGCATGACCACTTTATCTCAGCTCACTATAAATGTGACCACTCTATCTCAGCACACTATAAATGAGACTACTCTATCACAGCACACTATTAACGTGACCACTCTATCTCAGTACACTATAAATGTGACCACTCTATCTCAGCACACTATAAATGTGACCACTCTATCTCAGCACACTATAAATGTGACCACTCTATCACAGCACACTATTAATGTGACCACTCTATCTCAGCACACTATAAATGTGACCACTCCATCTCAGCACACTATAAATGTGACCACTCTATCTCAGCACACTATAAATGAGACTACTCTATCACAGCACACTATTAACGTGACCACTCTATCTCAGTACACTATAAATGTGACCACTCTATCTCAGCACACTATAAATGTGACCACTCTATCTCAGCACACTATAAATGAGACTACTCTATCACAGCACACTATTAATGTGACCACTCTATCTCAGCACACTATAAATGTGACCACTCCATCTCAGCACACTATAAATGTGACCACTCTATGTCAGCACACTATAAATGTGACCACTCTATCTCAGCACACTATAAATGTGACCACTCTATGTCAGCACACTATAAATGTGACCACTCTATCTCAGCACACTATAAATGTGACCACTCTATCCCATCTCACTTTTATACTGACCTCTCTGTCTATCTCAGCACATTTGGAGCTAATGCTCTTCTTTTCTCCATTAACATCATAGCGGGTAATCACACCATCTAGCGTTTTCATTTCTATCTTTTTTAACTAAAACAAAAAAAACATTTGAGAATTCTTTATACTTCATCAATTATAGTTTTTTTGTGTTTTTATTTTCTTTCAGAGTTTTATAAACTTCAATCTTACTGACATTTTTTAGTCCAACATGTCTACAGTCAACTCATTCATTTAGAGATAGGGACAACAAAAGAAAAAAAATGAAGATTTATTTGTTTTCTTAAGGAAGCTCTAAACACTAACAAAAAATGCTTTTTGGACTTGGAGAAAAATATATTATATAAAAGTGTGCATATTGAGACCATTTAGTTCATTTTCAACATAGGGTACCTGCCTTATCTCCACAGGAAAAATGTTCAAAGACAATGGTCTAATTCATGAACAGAAATCACTATTGTTCACTTACATAGGGAAAAATATAGAAAATAATGAATTCAATTACTTATTCTTAGTCAGATATAATGCTCAGAATATTTTAATCTATAATAAATAGTGTAATGAACTGTAAATAACCATTTTTTCTATTTTTCTTCTAAGGGCAGATCACTCTAACTGCATAAAACTACCCTACAAGTAGAACTCTTCAGTGTGCAGTGTTTAGAGCTTCCTTAAATCTTCGAGTCTGTTCTTTATAATTAAGTCTAGCCTTATTAATCTGAATGCCTATGTTCCCAAGCAAAGTGTCCAGATTAGCATGATAAATGAAGATAGTGGATTACTGTACGTTTTGTAATTGAGAGATATAAATAAAAATTCTGTTCCCCCCCAATTTTGTATGGAAGGTGAGGGGGCTTGATTGTACACAAAACTCTTTACCTTTTGAGTGGCCTCCATAATCCTCTGTATGACCATGCGATTATTTGTCACGTCCCGGAACTGCAGTCGGATCTGTGCCTTCACCTGACGCTCCTGGGCCACTTTAGGATCGTGAATAAATGCGCCACCTTTACTACCAGGGGGCATAACTCCTGTTGTCATGTACTTCAGGCATTCAATGATTGTCTGCAGAAACAGCTCTACTCATTTACTCAAAGAAGCTTACCTGAGCTATAATAAACTCAAATTTATGATATAAATGTACTGAGACAATGTTTTCAAGAAAATTAATTTAAAGTGATGAGATGTTGTAATGACTAACAGCTTTCCCCGTTCAATTGGGGCCCAGAATCAGAGTGAGCGGTGTAAAGTGATGAGATGTTATTATGACTTACAGTTTTCCCCGTTCCACTGGGGCCCAGAATCAGAGTGAGCGGTGTAAAGTGATGAGATGTTATTATGACTTACAGTTTTCCCCGTTCAATTGGGGCCCAGAATCAGAGTGAGGGGTGTAAAGTGATGAGATGTTGTAATGACTTACAGTTTTCCCCGTTCAATTGGGGCCCAGAATCAGAGTGAGGGGTGTAAAGTGATGAGATGTTATTATGACTTACAGTTTTCCCCGTTCAATTGGGGCCCAGAATCAGAGTGAGCGGTGTAAAGTGATGAGATGTTGTAATGACTTACAGTTTTCCCCGTTCAATTGGGGCCCAGAATCAGAGTGAGGGGTGTAAAGTGATGAGATGTTATTATGACTTACAGTTTTCCCCGTTCAATTGGGGCCCAGAATCAGAGTGAGCGGTGTAAAGTGATGAGATGTTATTATGACTTACAGTTTTCCCCGTTCCATTGGGGCCCAGAATCAGAGTGAGCGGTGCAAAGTGATGAGATGTTGTAATGACTAACAGTTTTCCCCATTCCATTGGGGCCCAGAATCAGAGTGAGGGGTGTTAAGTGATGAGATGTTATTATGACTTAGTTTTCCCCGTTCCAGTGGGGCCCAGAATCAGAGTGAGGGGTGTAAAGTGATGAGATGTTATTACGACTTACAGTTTTCCCCGTTCAATTGGGGCCCAGAATCAGAGTGAGGGGGGTAAAGTGATGAGATGTTAATATGACTTACAGTTTTCCCTGTTCCATTGGGGCCCAGAATCAGAGTGAGGGGTGTAAAGTGATGAGATGTTATTATGACTTACAGTTTTCCCCGTTCCATTGGGGCCCAGAATCAGAGTGAGCGGTGTAAAGTGATGAGATGTTATTATGACTTACAGCTTTCCCCGTTCAATTGGGGCCCAGAATCAGAGTGAGCGGTGTAAAGTGATGAGATGTTATTATGACTTAGTTTTCCCCGTTCCATTGGGGCCCAGAATCAGAGTGAGGGGTGTAAAGTGATGAGATGTTATTATGACTTAGTTTTCCCCGTTCCAGTGGGGCCCAGAATCAGAGTGAGGGGTGTAAAGTGATGAGGTGTTATTATGACTTAGTTTTCCCCGTTCCACTGGGGCCCAGAATCAGACTGAGGGGTGTAAAGTGATGAGATGTTATTATGACTTACAGTTTTCCCTGTTCCATTGGGGCCCAGAATCAGAGTGAGGGGTGTAAAGTGATGAGATGTTATTATGACTTACAGTTTTCCCCGTTCCACTGGGGCCCAGAATCAGAGTGAGCGGTGTAAAGTGATGAGATGTTATTATGACTTACAGTTTTCCCCGTTCCATTGGGGCCCAGAATCAGAGTGAGCGGTGTAAAGAAGCTTATGATTCCCTTGTCTGAATCCTCGGGGCCGAAACTTCGGATCCCTTGGATGGACATCTTCTCAATTCGAGACATATTTTTAACTTATAACCAATTAAGCAACTCTGCAGAAGTCTGAAATGAAAAATGTCTTTAAAATCAGACCAAATGATTTATATATACTGAATTCTCATTATATCATGGGTTCCACTGTATCGCAGTATTTTCCAAACATCTGGATACACAGCACATATCCTTTTTCAAGTGTTTTTGTTAATGGACTGTCTGTCTGTCGTCTGACTGTTGACTCGTTTGATGAGGGAAAACGTATGGAACACAAATTGAAGAAAAATTTATTTAAATAATGAGTAATTTTACAGACTCTCATTCCCTTTTTTTATTTCTTTTTTAAGACCATTGAATATATAAACCTAATAAAAACCATAACAAAATGCATATTTTTGAAGTCTAAGTTGTTATTGTCTAGCTTTCATGTAGATTCACATGTTGAATTAAATAATACAAATTATACTTCAAGAAAGTGCCAAGCCTTTATGTATTCCAATACTGCGATACAATGTCAGTGCCTCTCCAATTTAGAAGGTAAATAAGACTTCCTGTTTTAAAAATAGACTACAAATAGCTTGGAAAATAATTTGCCAATAAAAAAGTTAGCTCATTGTTAGTTTTCTGAAGAACTTTTGACGAAAAGTTAAAGTAAGAATTTGGAATAACTTTTTTTACAGAAAAGGAATAAGTACCGCAATATTACGAGATAATAGCATACTAGTACACCTAGATATAAAGTGTAATGCTTGGAAAACGTAATATGTTTCCTGTTGCTGACATATTTTATTCTGTATATCAGGGGCTGACAAATCCCAATGCCCGACGCACGGGGCTAGTGAATTTTAAAGGTGGTTAAGTGAATTTTCAATAGGCACTTGACCATGGACAAGTGACTTTAAAAAATCAATCAATAAACATTTTTAAAAATGTCATAGTTTTACATGAATTCGAAACTATTTTGTCGTAAGAGTTATCTTCCTTTGCTTGTCACACTTTGTAAGTGAACCAGTTTAACTGTGTCATCGTGTATCTTTAATCATGTTAATTAAGTCTTACTGACAGTTTTAAGTATTTAATTGAAAGTGACAAATTGGCATTGGAGAAATGGAGAAAGTTTTAACAATTATGAGGCAGAAAAACGATCAGAAGCTGATGATAAGTACATAGTCAACACTGGTCAGTAACGATGTTAGCGAAAGAACCACAAAATGGACTAAGCTTATTAAGTATGAGAAAGAAAAACAACGGAAACAATTATTCCTACCAAATGGCAAAAAGCATGACTATGGGTGAATTACAATAGCAACAGAATGGTATGGTACTTAGTACTTACTGGCGGTAGTTTTCAACTGTCACCAATATTCAGAACAAAACATTCAAGGTTGCAAAATTTTCTGATTTGGTGACAAATTTATTCATTAGGATGAATATGAAGTGCTGGGTAGTAAAAAGAATGAAAGGAAATATGTTTTGTTGTTTTAGATGAAATCGAAATTATTTTGACACAAGAGTTTTCTTTAATTTATAGTTTATCATGTTTATGGTGGGGCAAGCAAAAATAAAAGTAGGGCAAGTGAATTTTGAACATGCACTTGCCCATGGGCAAGTGCTTGAAAAATTTATTTGTCAGCCCCTGTGTATATTGTATTTCTATGCATAGAAAAAGCATGAAAGATAACTGCGGGAAATTACTGCATACTTAGGTTTGACACTGCAGTTCTGATATAAATAGTAACAATGTCAATCATGTAATTAATATGCAGTTATTACATAAAGGTAGACTTTTACAGGCACTAGTAACTTCAATAAATTTGTTTGCAAAAAACTAATGTTGCACAAGTCACTATTTCAAGGACACCACTTTGGGTTATTATTTTACATGCACATGTTAGGTTTTTCTGACAGGTTAACTTCTGCAAGAAAATTGAAAGGAATTTGGCATGGAAGCATCAAATGGAAGCATAGGCATGGAAGCATCAATTTTTCGCGGGAAATGTAGATCTATATGTTAACCTTTACCTAGCTGCTTAACAACTTTTATCATAATTACCTGATTGATCCTTTACGTTAACTACCTGAATCACCATCCATTTTTCTACTCAAATATGCAACTTCTTCATAAATAATAAAGGACTCCAAACTTTACTTCAGTTGAAAATGAAAGTTTCACGCTCAGAAATTTAGAATTCTTAAAATATCGAACCCGATCATAATTCATCCCTTCGCATTTGCTTAGTTAGATGTCGAGACAGGCTCTCGCCACACAGGGGTTCAAGATCATAAACTGAAAAAATATATAAATCAAAATGTTGATACTGAGTATCTTGATATTTATTTCACATATGTGTAGGTTTGTGCAATATTACAATACAAACACGCGATGCAAATTACGCGAACATAGGCGGATCCAACAATTATTGGAGGGGGGGGGCATCAAAACATGTAACTATTCACAAAATAAATAAATAAATAAATAAATAAATAAATAAATAAATAAATAAATAAATAAATAAATAAATAAATAAAAAAATAGAATAAAATATTTTAAAATATGAAATTCCATATACGACATTCAACTGCTTACTGCCAACTGCCAGTGCTCATAGATGATATTGCCTGTTTTGTTATCTTTAATATCTTTAATACGCATGCTTGAATAAATCCTATGATAGCAAGAATATTTTTATAAATAAATAACAAAAATTGGCGGATTCAGGAATTTTTAAACGCTAAAGGCGAGGAAGGAATTAATAGGAGGAAGGAGTATTTCTTCTTAAATACAAAACATCTAATTCCCACATTTCCTTACAGGCAAATAATTCAATAGCTTTTTTGGCGGGGGAGAGATTAAAGGCTTATATAACGTCAGAAAAATGCGGGGGGGGGGGCTTTTTGTAGGATCCTGGGTAACATTTGTTGGCAGCATGTTATAAGCATTTATACCAGAAATACTAATAAAAAAATCTTAATACAAGGCATTAATTTTACTCTATGTAAAAACAGTTGATCTTAGACAAGAAAGCAATATCAGTGGGGGTGGGGGGTGGGGAGGGGGGCACACAACCCAACATAAATACCTTGACAAGTAATAAAAAAGGTCACAGGCGTGATTATTCAGGGAGCACTACTGTATATTATATGTTGGCAATTTATTGGGGGACCCCCCTCATCACTACCACCATTGTCTTTACAGATCTAACATTATTAGCCATTAAAAACGATTAAATGACACATACAAAAATTCTCAAATACAGGTACTTTTCATTGGGTACAAAGAAACCTAAAAGATATTGGTAGATATTTTACCCTCGGCAAAAGTTATGTTATTATAATTTTCAGTATTATTTCTAGTATAAATACATATGCCAACAAATGTTTCCCAAGACCCCTCTAAAAGTTTGTTCTTTTATCGTATGTGACCCCCCCCCCCCTTCCCTCGCGACAAAAATTTTTGAATTATTTATACCTGCAAGGAAATGTGGGAATTAAATGTTTTACATCCGCCATTTTTTATTTTTATTGTAAGAACTACATACGCTAACTTTCGATTTCCGCCTACATTTTACATCCATTTAATGCAACATAAATGGCACTTTGGCCATTAAAACTTGTTTGAACGCAAAGAAAAGTTCATTAGTAATGAATTAATAATTTTAAAAACCAGAGTCAAAAACTGAAAACTCTCCGTTTGTTTATCTTATGTAAAATTCAACATATCAGATTCATGAGATTGATAAAGTACATTTTTTATTTGTTATCTTATTTGAAGCAGTGAGCAGTTGGCAGTAAGTAGTTGGCTGTCGTACATGGAATTCCATAAAAAAAAAACAACAAAACAAAACAAAACAAAACAAAACAAAAAGCAAATAAGTAAACAAAAAGACCATCCCCTAAAAACTAAACTGGTGTGCTCAAACACGAAAAGCATATTTTGTGAGGGGTTGGGGTGGGTATAGGGAGGTGGGATGGTGGTGTTCGACACCTCTCATGGACGAGCCACTGTTCTTCGTATTTGTATTCCTTCCTACCAACTAACCAAAAATCTGTGTTCCGGAGGGAGGGATTCCAAGTTAAGTCTTCTTTGTTTGGTTCCTGTAATACATTTAAAAAAAATACTATGAAAGTCGTAAGGGGTTCGTACCCCCTGACGCCTACCCCACTGGACCCGCCTATGAGGATGATACATGTGGTGACTACTGTTTATGCTTGGGATTGTCCATATTACCATTTGTTTTTGGATGAGTGACCAGTTTCATATTTTAATGGCCTGTGATTTCGAACTTATTTTAAGAAGATGGACAAAAAAACTGGGAAAAATGCCCATGGTTCGACATATAAGAAAGTCAAAAATTAAATCTCATTTATAAAACAAAATTCTTTAATATTTCAGTTAGCATTAATATAAACTTCTGTAAAATCTCCACATTTTACAACAATCTTACAAGTATTGAAATTATTCGTCTATGAAATGTCAAGCACACACCGACCAGGGACAAATGATCATTTCTTCATAGTACTAAAAGTCTATAACACAATTTTTCTATATGAGTGGGTCTTCGATCCATTTTTTGAAGGTATATGATTATCAAAGTGTGTGTAAAATCAGACATATTTCGGATAGCAAAAACATGGGTCAAGGACCCGCTATACTTCAAAAATACACTTTTATGACTACATTTGTATATTTCCCAGAAATATTTCAAATCCAGTTATTCAAGGGACATTAAAATGCCACTTCGTAGTATGAGTTAACGTGTCAGTCTCCAAGAAAAAAACCCTGATACTCAGGATTTTTATCGCTTGGGTTCAAACTCCCAAGAAAACCGTATCTTTTAACCCCCCCCCCCTAAAATAAAATAGCATGTAATGCATATAATTATACTTAAATAAGAAAAAAAGCGTGTCGATCTCAGATTTAAAAAGAAAAAAATGGAAAGGGGGATCCATGACCCCAAGTGTCTGTGTGTTTTGCAAGGAGCATATAAATACTGTTTTCAGGATATTACAAGGGATTAAAGAATTAAGTTTTAGAGACGTATTAACAACAGTACTGTACGTCA